AACTTCCTCGCAATTTTTTTGAAGTTTTTTTTTTGACGTTTTTTTGGGTGTTTTTTTGGCCGTTTTTTTTAAACGTTTTTTAATGTTTTTTGTTGGAAGTTTATCAATGTCCACACTTTCTTTTTCATCTTTAAGTTTTTCTTCTTCAAGTTTTTTTTTTTTCATTTTTAAGTTTCTCTGCAACAACTTCCTCGCAATTTTTTTGAAGTTTTTTTTTTGACGTTTTTTTGGGTGTTTTTTTGGCCGTTTTTTTTAAACGTTTTTTAATGTTTTTTGTTGGAAGTTTATCAATGTCCACACTTTCTTTTTCATCTTTAAGTTTTTCTTCTTCAAGTTTTTTTTTTTCATCTTTAAGTTTCTTTGCAACTTCCTCGCAATTTTTTTGAAGTTTTTTTTTTGACGTTTTTTTGGATGTTTTTTTGGCCGTTTTTTTTAAACGTTTTTTAATGTTTTTTGTTGGAAGTTTATCAATGTCCACACTTTTTTTTTCTTTTTCAAGTTTTTCTGCAAAGTTTTTTAAGTAATTTAATATTTTGCTTTTATTCAATGTAGCATTATAAAATAGATTAATTTCTTCTTGTTTTGTGTGAGAGAAAACAAAACTGATTAAACAAAACTCCATTTCTTCCCAAGGTAATCTATCATAGGTTGATTTCAACTGCCGCTTTAATATATGAATATTTTTTGCGATAAATTTTGCTACAAATAAGAACTTTTTATCTACTTTTTCCGTGTTTGAATAATCTTTCTTTAGCATATTAATGTTTTTAAGTGTTAATTCAATTCGTTCTTTGATATTATTAAGACAATTCTTATCATCATCAAGACAACTCTTTACATTCTGATCTTGTCGAGAAATATTAGAGAAAAAACGGAGGTTTACTAACTTACTTTGAACAAAAATTTCTATTTCGTCTGACAATGGTACATCTTTTAACTTTAATTCTTCATAAGCTCTTGAAAGGATTTCATCCAATTTTCCTAAATGAACAGCAAAATATTTACCTGGCCATTTATTAATAAGTGTATCAAGAAGCTCAACATTGCATGAACGTATAGCATAATAAAACGCATTATGGCATGTTTCATCTTTATCATCTGGTAATATAGTGTTTCTTCCAATAACAACAGACAGATTATTTAGAATT